CTCCTCCTCCTCCTCCTCCTCCTCCTGCCACCATCCCTCTTCCTCCATGTTCCTGCCGCCGTCCCTCCTCCATCCTCCCTCTGCCGCCCCTCCTCTGCCCTGCTGGCGTGGCGCGGGTCTTCGCTCAGGTACTCCAGATTTCGTAATAAAGGGAGGGGGGTCTCATTTCGGGGGGGGTCTCTTCTAGGCTATCTTGGAGGGCCTGGGGGGGTCTGGGGACGATGTTTTGGAGGATTCTCCCACGGGGGAGGTCTGAAATGGCTTGTCTTGGAGGGTCCAGACCCCCTCCCTTTTATTACGAAATCTGGAGTATTGCCCTCCAGCGCAGGGCGGCGCTGGTCACCGCGCGCCCGCCGCCAGCTGCGACTCCGCGAGGAGTCCCGCGGCGCACCTTTGGCCGACCGTACCAGGGCAGGCGCGCTTCGATGTTCAGGGGCCCAGGATCCCAAACATTCAGCGTCTCGAGACAAGCGGAGCCAAGGTTGTTCGTGGTCTTCAGCCTCTCGGGGCCCTCCCTGGGCCTCGGGGCTGTCAACAAAGCGACTCGGGATGAAAAACCGGTCCCAGGGAAGTGGTCGAGAGGTGGGGGGCCTGAAAGAGGGACGATCGTTCCAGTGAGCCTATCCGCATATGCCCACCCCCTGGGGGACAGCGCCCGCACTATGAGTCGGGATGCCCCCCCAGAGACGCGTGCGCCTCTAGGGTAGCGCACAGTGAGGTGAGAGGTAGAGCTATGCAGTTGTTGCCACCGGCTAGGCCTGCACCATCGCACACAAGGCCCGTCTCGAAAAAAATCGAGACGCATGATGTATGGGATCCCGGCATGTCTTGTGCCTGCTGGTAGCCCTCGCTGCCACAGCGCGGTCGGGGGTCGCGAGCCCCGCCCCCCCCCGCCCAGCTCGCACGGACACCCATCCGTCTGCCTCCTCCTGTCCACCTTAACCTCTTCCCTACTGTCTCCTTCATCCTTCCTCCACCTTCCTCCTCCTCCTCCTCCTCCTCCTCCTCCTCCTCCTCCTCGCATCATCCTCCTCCTCCTCCTCCTCCTCCTCCTCATCCTCCTCCTTCCTCCTCCTCCTCCTCCTCCTCCTCCGCATCCTCCTCCTCTCCTTTCCCTTCATCTCTCCTTCCCCATTCTTCCCTCCCACATCCGCTTCCCGCCCTCCTTCCCTCCTTCTCGTCCCTCCCCATCCCAGTCCGCCTGCTGCTGCTTCATCGCTCCTCCCTTCCCCCATCCGTACTCATTTCTGCCTCACTCTCGCTCTCCGCCATCCTCCCTGATTCATGCCGCCCACTTCCTTGTTTCTTCCCCCCCCGCCCCCCAGCCCCCCACTCCCTACTCTTCGGGTTATCCTTCTCGAGCATCCCTCCGTCCCTGCCCACTCCTCCCTCGCCGGACCCCCGGGTCCTCGCCCCACCCCCTGGCTCCCCATCGCCTCGCGCTCCCGTGCCGCTCGGTCGCCCCTGTCCCGCCGCCCGCAGGCGTGGACGTGTCGCTCTCCGGTGCTCGTCGCTTACTCCTTCCACCCCTCCCCCACAGATCCTCACTCCCGCCTCCCCGCGCCCTCTCCTGCCGACCCGCCGCAAATCCCCCCCCCCACCCTCCTTCCCAGACTCCTCCCTCCCCCATTTCTCCTTCGCTCCTCGGGCACCCCCCCTCTCAAAACGCCCTCCTAACCCCAAGACCTGAGGACCTCATGATCCAACCCGTTATGGAGTCCTTCGAACTCGCTGGACGCGCCCAACTATGTACATGAACACGGCCCCTTGACCAGCGAGACCGGCCGCGTGATACGAACATTCGCGCAATGCGAAATCTCGAAAACAGCGTGGATTCATGGGCGTGCACGTCCCTCTTTCGCTCTTGACCGTTATGGAACCCTCCGAACTCGCTGGACAACAATTCATGTCAAGACGGGGCTCTCGCCTGAGTGGAAGGCCCGTAGTGCCCTGTAGCCTTCCACGGGGGGGGCGTCCCCCTGCAGTGAGAAGAAAAGCTTACAGGAACGTTTGAGGAAGGGACTTGGGGGAGGGGGTGCGTCGTGGGACGCACACGGACATACGAGTACGATATGTCTTCCTCGGAGGCGCGCGTCCGACCCGAACATATAGCATAACCGTCTCGTCACATGACGTTTCCCGAGCGGTGCGGCCAGAAAGCGCGCGCCGCGGCGCTTCTACGATCGGATCTCTCGGTGCGAACGTCGCCCCCGGGAGGGCAACACACATACAGCATGAGTATGTTGGGGCGACGTCGATGTTGTCGCATGGTTGACGCATCCTGGGTTACTCCCGTTGTTCTACAATAAACCCTGTCGCGCCACCAGGCGTGACCGTAATCTGGGCCGGGCGTTTCTCATTTTTTTAAAAATGTGGCTCTCGTCTTAGCGCTGCGCACCTTCGTCTTTAAACACCTGCAACAGCTACAGGGATGCAGGGCAAATCGGTTTCACAATTGGTCTGTCGCATAAGCGCAACGCACATTCCCGCTAAAAGCTTGCAACAGTTGCAAAGATGGAAGGCCGGCTCGCATTCAAAAATTGGGTTCTCGCCTTGGCGCCGCGCACATTCGTCTGGAATACTTGCGACGATTGCAAGAATGAGAAGCAGATCGTTTTCAAAATGCGGTCCTCGCCTAAGCGCCGCGCAGGGTCACCTGAAAAGCTTGCAACACTACCAACAATAAAACCCCGTTCGGTTTCAAAATGGGCGTATGACCTCAAAACGCTTGAGACACCTACAATAATGGAGGGCGGCTCTGTTCCAGGATGGAGCTCTCGCTGAATATTCCATCATTGTCAAGCCCAGGCGAGCAAAACTATGTGGCAGTCGCACGGGAGGGCTTGGGCTCTTTCCCTAAACCTTGTTGTTGCCTGAGACTTCCAGGGTAATGACCAGGAGAACGAAAACTCGTGCAATCAATATACGGATTTGCGGGTGTCGTTTCAAAACGGGCTTCCGATGGACGCAGCGCTGAACCTTCTGATCCAACCTTTTCGCACTCCTCAGAACTTGCTACAAGGATGCACGGTCAACCCGTAAACGATGGACGTCCGATAAGGATGCAAGGGCATTGGAAGACCATGTCGACACTTTGCGAGCGGGGCGCGGCCAGCGAAAGCGGCCAAGGATGGGCCGAAGGGGAAGGATGCACGGGTAAACCTTGGAAAGTTGCTCATCCTTAATATGCGGGTTGACTGTAAAATAATTCATATTACAAGGGGCTCTCGTCTGAAAGGTAGGCCCATCGGGTGCTAGTTTTTTGGAGGAGGGTTTTCTGATGTGAAAAGGAAGGCGGGTAGTAATCTGCGAAGAGGGGGCTCGAGACTGGAGGGTGCATTGGAGCGTCTTTGACGCGTCCTGGGTTTACGGTGGTCATCCTCGTCTTTCCTCCTGCACCTCCTCCCACTCCTCCC